AGCCATTGGGGCTTTTTTCTCCTTTAAAAGAATTTGTTCATGGGAAAATATACCATACCAATGGCAGCAACATACTCTAAGTTTATGAGTAAATCGATTCCATACATAGTTACTACAGAGTGTATTATAGGCAGTATTTTTGCTGGGAGAAAAGCAGCAGAAACTTGGCAAAGTAAGGGAAAGAGAAAAGGCAGCTTATAATGATAAAGAGCCTTTGTGCCAGTAGGGAGAGAAGAAAAAATAACAAAAGGAATTCACAATGATTCACAGTAATTATAGAATGCAATTTATGGCCATGAAGGGTACAACATGTGATTGGGTATCAAAGAAGAAAGAAGTCATGTTAATTTAACCCGATTAAAATATATATTGTGAAGCAGAAACTTTTTTATTTGGTTGGTTGATCAGTTGATTTTGGATAGTTTTGGGTAGTATTTAATTAGTTAAAAAGCTATTGAAATGGAATATGGGCCATTTCCAGACAGAGGAATGGTATGAGTGATGGCCTGGGCATGGAATATGTTTGATACACAGTGAAATATCAGATTCACTCTGGTGCTCTGTGTATTTTATGGGAAACATTATAAAGGATAAAGGGCAAAAATTCAACTGAAACACAGTTACTATCGGCCATCTGAGAATTGTGTACTGTCCAGGAGAAAAGAGAGCTCTCAGTGAAACGGAAGAGTTAATACAACAACACATTGTGTCTGTCTGTACTCCTATATATTTTGTTCATTAAAGACATTAATGGATTTTATCCATTTTATGACATTTATTATTTTATGACGTTTATCCATTAATGACATTAATGGATAAAATATATAGGAGTACAGACAGGCACAATGCAGGAGAAACTATTAGGAGGACACTGCAATACTCTAGCTAATGGTTACAACAATCTGACACTGGGTATTTGCAATAGGAATAGAAAGAATGTAATAGAGGAAAGAGATATTTTGGAGATTTCAAGCATAATTAATGGGAGAAAATGGAAGGTTATTATATTTCAGAGAAGCATAAAGTCCAGTGATAACTTTAACTTGTATAAATTTAGTGTGCTCTCAGGAGAAGGTGATGTTTACTTTGTTCTTTTAGAATCTTGCACGGGTGAGTGGGTTACTGAATAAACAAATGTTTGTCTATCACAAATTTAGAGGATGTGCTCTTGTAGATATATAGTAGTTCTGAATAGTCCATTTAAAGACAGATACTAGGTTTAGGTTTTCTTCCAGGGTTTCTAGAGTTTCACGTCTTACTTTTAAGTCTGTAATCCTTCTTCAATTGCTATTTGTATATGGTGAGAGTTATGGGTCCAGTTTTGTTCTTCTACATGTGGCTAATCCGATTTTCCCAGCACCATTGATTGAATAAGGTGTCCTTTCCCCAGTGTCTATTTTTGTTGACTTTGTTGAAGATAAACTGGCTGTAGGAATGAGTCTTTATTTCTGGGTTTTCTATTATGATCCATATGTCTATTTTTATACCATTAATAGTAGCATGCTGTTTTGGTTACTATAGCCTTGTAGTATAATTTGAAGTCAGTTAATATGATACCTCCAGCTTTTTTCATTTTGCTTAAGATTCATTTGATATTTGGGCAGAGCCACAGTCTTTAAATATTTGAATGGACATATTGTGACAACCACACTTAACATATTTTTAAGTGGCACAGTAATATTATCTAACACAAACTCAAAATTCAAGTGTATCCAACAGTCCCAATAGCTTTCTTTATAAACATCTTTTTTTTTCTTTGTATTTCTTCTTAGGATTGAAAGGTAAATAACCTAGCATCTAAACAAGGGAACCAACACACACACACACACACACACACACACACACACACACACACACATATATATATATATAGCCTTGGCTTTTAAGAAAGCTTACAAGATCTCAAACTGTCTTAATAGAGTGACAATAACCAAATCAATCATCCTTCTCATTGCTACTCTGGGTAGAATGCACCTGGAGAAATGACTGCAGTTATGGATAGCTCACTGAGAGCTATTACTGGTAATCTGAAGTGTGTTCAGAATAAAATAACCAGGGTGATGGGGAATGAAAAACCCAAAAGTTTCACATGATAGATTCTGATGATCTTTAGGCTGGAGAAGCATAGGCTAGGGAAGTGGGCATAGCTCTTATTGTTAAATACTTGAATGAGTGCCTTTATGATTTGAATTCTGTTTCTCCAAAAAGATATGATTAAGTCCTAATGATCATTACTCAGAATGTGACCTTATTTGGAAATGGGGTCACTGCAGATATAATTTGATATGGTAAAGTCATATTGCAGTAGGGTGGGCCTTTAATCCAATATGACTGGGATCCTTATAAGATCATGGCCATGTGAAGATAGAAACACAGTAGAATGTCAGGCACTGACAAAGGCAGAAATTGGAGTTGTACTGCTGCGAGCCAAAGAGCACCAAAGATTGCCTGCAAACCACCAGAAAATACGAAGAGACAAAGGAGAATTTTACTACAGCTTTCAGAGACAGGACAGCCCTGCTAACACCTTGATTTGAGACATCTAGCTCCAGAACTGTGAGACAATAAGTTTGTATTGTTTTAAGACATCAGGTTTATGGTACTTTGTTACAGCAGCCCTAGAAAACGAATACAATGTACATAAATAGGTAAGGTTTATTCGTTCAGTTCCAAGAAATAATTAGGATGTAGTAAGCAGAAATGAAGGGAAAACAGAACATGAACAAGAACTTGCTAGTAATTAAAGCCACTACAAAATGAACTCAAGGGCTCCAGCAGGTTTTAAATTACCTAGTATTATAAATGTTCAAGCAGGATGAATCAGAGATGGTGCAGAGGTGATTACTCATGCATCAGATGGAAGGTTAGACTGAATAACCTCCAAGTGAAATATTATATGATCCTATCTTAAAGCCCTGTCAAATAGAGGCTGGTAGCTTCCTTTTCATTTTCTGCTCCAATCAAGAGGATATATGGATGATATAGCATGGCGGATAAGACTGAAATTCAAGATATAGTACTTAGTTTTACTTTTACGTACTCCAGTACTTAATTTTTTCTTAGGCAGGTCCCTTAACTTCTCTCTCCTTATTTTCCCATCTGTTAAACAGAGATATTAATACTATTCACTCCATAATGTTATTATGATGACACTAGTTAATAATTTAAAATGCTTAGAACAAGGCACAGCACATAGTAATGACTAAAGAGGTGTTTTTGAACATGTACTTGCTCTACTATTATCTAGATTGCCTATATCTAATGCATTAAGTCTTCCCACCAGCGCCATTCCTTATATCCAAAATACAGGGTTAAAAGATTAGAAATAATTGCATGTTTTCTAAAAGTCCTGTGCATTTTTCTAGATCTAATATTGTACTATTTGGACAACTTGTTGACCAAGTACCAGAAATATAATATTTTTTGTCAATTTTCTCATAACAAACTGTGATAATGTGTTTGTCAACTGCTAGGATGGGTTTGTGTGTGTGTGTGTGAATGTGTGTGTGTGTGTGTGTGTGTGTTTCAAGTGTTTATAGAAAATAAATCACTCAATGGCATCATTTTCAAATAATAATGACTACAGCTACCCTGATTAAGGTTCACCTGAGTTTTGGATATTACCACGCAAGAGTTAGAGGATGATGTGAAGTTTTCAAAATTAAATCCTCCCAAATCCAGGTATTTTGTTAAATTGACATCTGTTGATAGCTGACAGCCAAATTCAGCTTCAGGAACTAGTAAGAACATTTTCCAGCTTACGAAACTATTAATAAAAGTTACATAATTGTCAAAAGAAATCCTCATTCAGTGATTTAAATGTAACAAAATGAGGTTTTATTTATTCACTATATAAAGATACTAATCCCTGCATTATTTGGGTGCATGGGTGACAGCTCTGACAAGTTTGTGATGCCCCAGACAAATTCAGTAATGTTCACTGAAGCAAACCCATGAATAGATGTGATGGCAGTGTGTACACCTGTGTAACTCCAGAGCTAGTGATTATGTAACTTTTACATATGTCAGACCAAGGGAGGACAGAGAATGGAGGAACTGGATGTTCTTTCAGTAAAGAGCAACTGAATGAGACAGGACAGCTTTTGAACTGGGGATACACTAGAAGGTAATGAGGGAGGCTGGCTATGAAAGTATTGAAAACTATGTTTGATTGCAGGTTGATGTTTAGAGGCCCTAAGGTAATAGAAAGGAGGCAAAATTGAGTGTCTGGAACTTATATGTACTTTATCACAGTACTCTCATTTTCACCAAAGAAGGCAACCCATGTGGTGAAAAGACCACAAGTATTGGAGCTAAAGCCAAGTTATAGCTGTAGTTTTATATTTTGTGAGCCCGTATGTCCTCAGACAAGTTTTGTGAATTAACTTCCTGTGTCTCAGCTTCCTGTTTTATAAAATGTGGGTAATATCATTGTCCCTTCAGATTGTTGTCAGCATTAAAAAACATAAGTATATGAACCATCTAGCTCAGTATTTGGCAATGGTGGGAGCTGAATAATTTTTGGCTCTCACCTTAAAAGAAACTATTTGTTAAAAGTTCCAAATGCAGGATTTAGGAGCAGATATGGGTCAAGGTCATGGATGAGGTAAACACTACAGTGCAATAAAAATTGCTAGTTCCTAATTTATCTTAACTCAGCAACCATTTCTTGAGACTCTACTACATATTGAGTACTGAGGGAACAGAAAGATGATTCAAAGACCATTTTAAAACTTCTGAAACTTGCAATTCAAAATCAAGTGAAAATAAATACAGCCTTATGATTTATTGAGAAGTATCATGCAAGGCAAATGAACTGATTTTAAGCATGTACTTAGCATTCACACAGATTGACAGATTCAGTGAAAACACAACATGGCCTTCAAGTATTTTTCCTTTTAAATACATGTTTGTGGACTTTATAGAAATATTGACATTGTTTCCTCACCAATATCTTATTTTCTTTGTTGAGTGACCATTCCTTTTTCTTTTCAAATTAGTTTGTGTGGCAGTGTGGAAGAACCACCACATGAGGACAGTAACCAACTACTTCATAGTCAATCTTTCTCTGGCTGATGTGCTTGTGACCATCACCTGCCTTCCAGCCACACTGCTCGTGGATATCACTGAGACCTGGTTTTTTGGACAGTCCCTTTGCAAAGTGATTCCTTATCTACAGGTAATTGTTTTTTTTAATGTTTTTTTGAAGCTACTAAAAAAGTGTTCAGTCATAGCCATGACCCTTATGGTAAATTAACTAGTGAATTGAGAAATGTATTTGCCTAAGGCATTGAGAAACTGAAGGAAAATAATACTTGAGAATTTATGGGGAAATGAGTTAAGTTCTGGGTAAAAATAAAGCAACAATCTGCCAAATCATCATTAGATGCTGCACAAAAATTTTTGAACAACTTTTTTGATTCCTTGTTTGATTCCAAAAGTTTGATTTTGCACAAACTTTTTTGATTCCTAATTTCCCCATTGTTAAATAAGAAACTTGAACCAATTAATGAGTTAACCAATTAATGATCTCCCCAAACCAATTATTGATCTTTCTCTTGACCCAATTAATTATCTTCCAGTCCAAATCATTGAGGATATTTGTTTTTACCAGTGATTTTATTTTATACTGAAGAATTAAGACCTACTTGGTCAAATCAGTGCCATGAACAGGTTTTAGTGTAGATTCTAATTCAAACTACCAGATATGGAATCTCCATTCTGCCATTCACCAATTGTATGCTATCAAGCCAAATAGTTATAATTCACTTATCTAAAAGGATAATTGTAATGAGATCTACCTCATATGGTTGCTGTGACCGTTTACTTAGATAATTAATATAAATAACTTGGCTCAGTGATTACCCTCTGGAAGATGATGATTTTATAAAAATAGTATGTTCTCAATAAACATCAATTATCAGCATCAGAATCACCATTAGTAGTTGTTTTTCTTTCCTTAAGAGTGAAAACAGCTTCTTTTTCTATTTAATTGCCATTTCAGTAATTAAGAACAAATACTTTCAGAGATTAGTGTTCTGATTGTTATTATAGCTCTAAAATTCTTGAAACAAAAGATTCATAAGATGATGTTCACATTCATACATCCATCCTAAAGGATGGATTTCCCTTACGAATTGGACAGCAAGTGAAATGATGACCACTCTCTACTTGTCTTCCCATAGTCTTCCAGCATCCTCAGTTGTTACTCCATGCAGTCTCCCAGATGGTGATTATAATATTTTAAGGAAGCAGAAAATAATCTCCCAGTAACAAAAAATTAGTGGGTGGGGTGGGCATAAATAGCCTATTACTAGGCATTATGCTGAATGAAATGTTGCAAAGAGATATTTAGTTCAATAGTTCCTCAGTGACCTCTTATTTAAAAAAGTGAAAAAAATTTAAGGTTAAACTTCTTTTTTATAGAATAGTAAGTGGAAAATACTATAGAAGTTATAAGCTCCATGCATATATTATGTTTAATTATAAAGCTAGTTTGGGTCAGCCTACTGAAAATGATGAATGGATTACAAAATGAACAGTAGCACATTGTTTTGAGGAAATAGTACATGGGACAACAGAGAAAAATATCCTCATAGAAGAAAAGTTAGTAAGAAATGAATGGCTCTGGTGGTGTTTGCATAGAGGCACTAGGAAAATAATACATTTCAGATAATTCTAATATTTCATTATCTCTGTGGTACTTCCAGAAAGCCTTTTACCTCTCTCGGTTTCAATAACTACCCAGGAAAATATTTTGAGGATTCTCTTAAGTTTTGGTATGGCTGCAGTTGCCAAGAGTCTTCAACTGACTGGGAACATTTCATGTTCTCTCTGTGAACCAGAAGATTCCCTGGTGATAGGTGAAATGATAAGGGCAGGTGCAATCATGTGCTAATACAGAGCGATAGCTTTCTGCAGAGTAGGCATCTCAGAGTTTCCTGTGAGTATTTGCACTAGAGGACAGAATGGAAGCAGTGTAACCAGCTAGTGATGCAGGGCATGAGTGTCTCTTGCAATCACTGACAGTCCCCTTTCACACAGCAGAACTACTTAACAAGTCTTAAAGTCCAAGGAACATCTTCATCTCTGGAAGAATTCTGTCTGCCTCTCCACACACAGTGTCCGATCTAATCAGTTCCTTAGCTGATCCTCTTCTCCATAGAGCAAGGAAAAAAAACTACTGGGTAATCACATGATGCAAAAGACTAGATCCATTTGTTACGCCATCCAACATTACTTCTTGACCGAAAGGTGTAAACTCACCAAGAGATTCGTGCATGGGTAAAACTAGTATCTCAAAATTCTTGATATTTATTGCCTCATTTTTCATAGAATTTTCCCAAATGCAATGAACAGTGCCGATGGGCAATAAACACATAATTTAAATTTGAGCAGTTTTTCTCCCGAGTTGTGACATTCTGAAAAGAATGACTTATATCCCTGATATGATATTTATGTCTTACTGAATATTTTAAAACACATTACATCATGCCCAGCCACATTTTAAAGTTATTTGGTTGCATTTTAGATTATTTGGGCATTTGCTAATTTGCTATAATTTATATGTTCTTTTCCTTCTAAATACAATACAGCCTTTAGATTTATGAGTGATATGCTGTAACGCATTGGCAAATGCACAAAAATCTTAAAAATCTCACAAATGTTATAAAGCTTGGCCAAATAATTAAAATGACTCTTTTGTATCTTTAATAATTGTATAACTCCAAGACAATTAATATGTATTTGGTTATTTGCTGAATAATTATGTATTTCACTTCTCTTCCAACAATGACAATAGCATTGGTTACTTTTTCAGAGTGATTTTTCTTTTTTAACTGCAGAAGAAGCCCTACATAGAAAATGTTTAAAAACAAAACAAAACAAAACAAAAAAAATCCAAAAAAAAGCCAAGTGAGATGTGGGAGGTGGGCAATGGGTGATCAAACAAGCTCCCTCTCTTTCAGTCATACTTTGCAACCTTTCTACCTATTAGTGTTTATCATCCAAATCTGTGATTTGGCAAAATTTTCATTTCTCCTTATAGTGAATATTTAAGGTCACCTTTACATATCTATTTGCTAGTATAAAACAGTGGACTTCTCTACTAAAGGAAATTTCCAAATACTACCCAGTGTGAAAGGTGCCCATAGTATAGGTCAAAGGCCAAGTACCTGAAGGCAGACGAAAATTCCCATTATCTCTCCACTTCATTCTCAACATTCATAATCCACACTAGATTCATTTCTCAAATGACTTACTATTAGACTGACTTGAGCTAATATCAGAATCCAAATGAAAAAGATACCCAGAAGTACACGCTTAGAAGTTAAAAGCAATAACAAAACTTTCACTTATAATTACTCATGATAAAATGCAATTTTATATCACCTCCAAGAAACTTTTATACCCTGCACATAACTGTATATTAATGTGTCAAATGCACAAGCAAATATAGTAGTTCAAACAATGAATATTAACTCACTGATTGTCAAGGGTTCATTCAATGGATTGGTTCATTCTACTATTAGATAAATCACACTAGCATATTCCCCACTTTTCTGTGTGATGAAAGGCAGTGCTCCCTGGGTCACTGTTGGTGCTGGATGTCAGTCTTTCAAGTGAACTGATATGAATTGATCATTATGACCTAATGGCATTAGGAAACACTAGAAATGACATTCATATTTGAACCATGCTACATCTATCCCATTTATCCATGTTGATTAGATTAATGGATTATAAATTACTAAGCCTTGATGAACACTCTGTACTTCTAGTTGCTAGAGAGGATTAACATATCTCTAGCCCAGAAGCTATGAAAAGGTTACTGTGCAAATTTATACAACCATAGTTCTATTCCCAGGTTAGCAATGGTATTGAGGGGCTCGAGGTGCTTAACTTGTTTGCAGAGAAGGAATGGATGTTGTAGAGAATAAGGTGAGATTGGTTTGAGAAAGGAAGTTGAAGGTACTCTAAGGTAGCAGTAAGAAATTTCCAGGAGTCACTAATCAACTTAAGCCCATTCTCACAGAGTCCAGCCCTTTAAAATTACACTCAAAATTATATTAGTCTCCCATAATTTAGCAAAGGTTAGGCTTTCACTTGTAATTTTATGAATATTCTTCTCTGAAAAGCAATCTGTTCCAATTAAAATATAGAACTTCAAGCTCAAGAATGAAAGATAAAACTAATAGTATAATCATTATCATAATTATTATTATAATCATAAGTAATAGCAAACACACAGCACTTATATGCCAGCCCTGGAATAGACATTTTCATCTCAGCTAACTGTCCATACAATTCCATGGTTAAGTAGTATTAATCATCCACATTTTACAGATGAGAAAACTGAGGAACGGAGAGGTTAAATAACCTCCCTAAGATCACTCCGTAAGTCAGATGGGATTCATGCCCAGAAAACCTGGCTGCAGACTTGATTCCAACTATACTCTTCTGCTTCTCCCATAGAGAAACAAAAGAATCATAGTTGGTAAGAATCTTATCCTGTTGATTTCCTTCATTTAGCACACACACACACACAACACACAACACACACATTAGGCCCAAAGCTGTAAAGTGAGTGAGTCAATAGTGTGCAGCTAGCTGATGAGAGAGAGAGAACAGATAGATCATCCTGACAGTCCAGAGACTTCCTGCACTGTTGCACTGGCTCTTAGATCTCTTTCACTCGTTTGTACTTATAATCAACGTATCAACAAGAGAGGTCCTCATGTAAAAGACTGAGATATCTACCCTTTCCACATGTTATGAGGTCAATATAACCAGGACAGAAAAATAGAGGAAGATGACTGGACTACATCTACTGTCTTCAATTAAGGCTCACCACTATTAATGGATTAACAAATATTTGTTTTAAAGATATGCAAGTATACATTCGCTGTAATACTATTCACAATAACAAAAATGTGCAATCAACCTAAATTTCCATCAATGATAGACTGGATAAAGATAATGTGGTGCATATACACCATGGAATACTATGTGGCCATAAAAAAGAATGAGATCATGTCCTTTGCAGCAACATGAATGGTGCTGGAGGTCGTTATCCTTAGCAAACAAAGGCAGGAACAGAAAATCAAATACCACATGTTCTCATTTATAAGTAGGAGCTAAATGATGAGAACACATGAACACATAAAGGGGAACAACATGCACTGGGGCCTTTCAGAGGGTAGAGGGTGGAAGGAGAGAGAGGATCAGGAAAAATAAGCAATGGATACTTGGCTTAATACCTGGGTGATGACATAATCTGTACAAAACTCCATGACAGACATTTACCTATGTAACAAACCTGCACATGTACCCCTGAAATTAAAATAGAAGTTAAAAAGAAAATATTTATTAAATGCATAATGGACATCAAATGTTGTATCAGATATTGGTGACACAGTTGTGGAAAAAAACAGAAGCAGTCCCTCCTAGCATAGAGCTTTGTTCCAATAGAGAAAACAGATGATAAATAAGCAAATTAAGTGAATAATTTCCTACTTTATACATTTTGAAAAGAAAAGAAATAACAATCTGTAAAAAAATGTAAAAGAAATCAAAAGTCTTTTTAAAGGGAGAGGGGATTCTGAGACTGATATCAGAATCAATATTTCATCCAGTATAAGAAAGCACATTGAATATAATTACATCAACTAATCATGTGGATCCAGACATTTTTAACTTTTTTTTTTCCCCTTTTTTAGTGCTGTTGTTATTTCCTTAAAGTGCCAAGTTAAAGAATGATTTGTGGTGTTGTTAATGATATAAAAATTTTGACTGGGTGAGCTTATCTAGTTTTTGGAGTCACATTGCCTAGGCTAGCAGTAAGCAAACTGTCGTAAGGAGATTCGTATACAGAATTCTCTTTTAACATGACTCGTAACTTTCCTTGGGTGCTACATGTTGAAAATGCACTGATGTGCAAATAGCCCTTATTATTTGAAAATATGAAATAAGCTACCTATAATTAAAAAACGTTAATTAAATATAATTTCAATCCAATGTCTATATGATAATTTAAAAGAAAGACATTTTTCTTTATAAGTGAGACTTTTCCAGTTTGGACTAAACATATGTGTTTTATTTTATTTTTTCTATATGAGGGTATGATTTCTTCCAATCAATGGAAAAGTTACAGGACAAAATAATTACAGTAATTATTTAAAGAATGCCATATTCTAAATTAAGACATTTGGAATTAAAAAAAGATTGCCAAGTTGTCATCATACATTTTCATGTTTAACAATAAACATGCATTTAAAAATATATTTCTAATATTTCATTTTTCTTTTTGGTATAATTTCTTTTTAAATAGAAAGCACTTGCATGCATTTTTTTTTTTTTTTTGGCAACTTTGAATTTGCTTATATGTCATGACTACCTTTCTCGTATAGTAAATATAGTAAGAGTAACTCTTTTAACAGCTGGTGCTTCTCTATTACTATGATTTTTCTTTTCTCTAGACCGTGTCAGTGTCTGTGTCTGTCCTCACACTGAGCTGTATCGCCTTGGATCGGTGGTATGCAATCTGTCACCCTTTGATGTTTAAGAGCACAGCAAAGCGGGCCCGTAACAGCATTGTCATCATCTGGATTGTCTCCTGCATTATAATGATTCCTCAGGCCATCGTCATGGAGTGCAGCTCCATGTTCCCGGGCTTAGCCAATAAAACCACCCTCTTTACAGTGTGTGATGAGCGCTGGGGTGGTAAGTACCTGATGGCGCATGAACTGACATTTATATTACAGCAGCAAATTGAAAATTGGATTAGCATAGCCATTGTAAAGCTGGGCTTATATATTTTATTGACATTTGTGAATACAGTTTTGCAAGAGCATGAAAAGCAACTTGAATTTCAAAACAATTTCACAGAATAACTCTACCTATCTGAATCCTTTGGAAATGTTATCTACTATTTTCTCATTTTCATATCTTTCAGATAGGAAATGAAAGGAGACTGTTCTGCAATTAAGATTTGGTTATTTTAGTTTTTGTTAAACTCTTTAAACAAAAAGCAATATGGAATACAAATCCAATTATGTATTCTGGAATGATCCATGATTTAAAAGATGGTTCAACACTGTGTTGTCTAGTGTCAGTGTCCCTAATGGGCTTCAAATACCACTGAATTTGTTCATTTTAAGACCATGTCCTGGGTCACATGGTCCTGGGAACATGACCAGAGTCAGCATGTGGTTCTCTAAATCAAATAATACAGATTTGTTTTCTCTATTCATAATACATTTAATTGGTGATTTTTGTTACTAGCATAATTATTATCCAGTTTAAGAATTATATTAATTATGAGTCAATCTGGTTTCCCATCTGACATGTATGATGTGAAATTTAAACAATCAGGTTTGAAGGCTTTATGCTTCTTTGGTTCGAAATTCTTAGAGTCAGTCTGAGGTTTTTGTGTAACAGTGAGAACACTGCTATCAACACCTGGTGCTAGCACAAATCCGGGCACAGGAAAGAATGACAGAATAAAATAACTGCATTTCAGTATAGCATGCACTGATTCCAATATATCACACGTCATCTGAAAAAAAAAAAAAAAAAAAAACACAATCTGACCTCTTCTAGATAGGTATACTAAAATGGCTCATATTTAGGGAATTCATACATTAAAATTGTTTTTTATTAGAAAGATTTATCAAAACAAGCAGTGCACACCAGGGATTGATTATGGATAATATTCTTAAATACTGTAATCTTTGAAGTTCTGTTATTTCCTACCTTGGTGTTTGTATTAGAACACCACAAGGAAAAAAAGTCAATCACTGATGTATTAGGCATATACTACAGGATATATCTACAGTAAGATAATATTTAAGAGCGGTTGAGATTATTTCATATATTGTTGTAAGACCTATAATAACTAAAATTTTACAATTTACTTTATCTTTTACACCAAACATCAAATATTTCTCTTTTATTGGGATTTATTTTTCCTTTTTAACATTGCAACTTTTTTTTGCTGTATTTTTGTCTGGATCATTTTTCGTTTTTTCCAATTTTCCCAATTAATAGTGCAGATAAAAGCAAAATAAATGGAAATTTTCAAAATGGTAGCAATATTCATTGTCTTATGTGCCATTTATTTAACGCTCAAACAACACCTTGAGAACTTAGTACATGTCAGGCATTGTGTCCACCTGGAGAGAAACAGACTCTGCTTAAGGGAACACACTCTATATAATAAGGCTCAAAGACCAATAAACAAATTTTCATAGGATAATCAGTATTTTAATGTATTTATACACAAAGTGCTGGGAACACAAATGAGAGAACACACTCAGTTCTGGCCATTTGAACAAAAGTTTACGGAGGAGTTGCTAACATTCCAGCAAAACATTAAAGATAAGCAAAAATTATCGAGACTGAGAGGAGGGAAAATGATGTCCAGAAAGCAAGAAAATCCACATCATGGATACTACATTACAAAGAAGAGAGAAAGTGAGTCAGAACTTGTAGTTTCTGGAACATCGTGGCAGGTAGTCTAAATAATTGAGCTTTGAAAGAAGATGGGTTGGGGACTGACTGTGACGTGTCTCTTATATAACTCTTTTACACTGATTTATATTTAGAAAGCTTAAAAAGGTCTTTCTCAGAATCCTGTACTAAATTCAGGACTAAATTTAGCCCTAGAAAGATTATATTATTTTTTCAAGATTATGAAGCAAATAGGTACATTTAAACCTAAAGTTTTCAACTTGTAAGTTGGGATTCCTTAAGTTTTATAGATATTGCAATTAGATAAAATATAAAAATATTTTTCAATATGTGTCAGCAGTATTTTCTCTAATATTCTGTCAATTAGTTTCACTTATATGTTTATGGGTTGCTTTCATAAGCTTTTCTTTTTTTTTAATATTTCCCTGAATAATCAAGTAATGGTAACCTCCATTAACAAAAAGATTGCAATGCCATGGAATCCTGTTCAGCTATTATGACTAAGTAAACAGATGTATGATGTTTAAATTACCTCTGAGTGGTAAATATAAATACATAAAACTCATTTCTACTCTGATATTTTATTACATAACTCTAGTATGGACATTTTCATAAAAAAAAAGAAAATGATTGGTGAATACTTAAAAATCTAAACTTAGCCTACAGAAGTCATTTAAGAACACTATTTGAAGGCGATTTTATAATAGCCTATAATTAAATGCTTATAAACACAAAAGTTAAGTATTATTGGATTGAAGTGATTATCTACAAAATCCAACTTAATAAAAGCTCTACAGTCATTTAAATATTAAATGAAATTGCTAATAACTTCACGTTTTTAAGAGACACAAAATAATTCAAAGCAGATTTTTGTCTTTTTTATTAGACATTTATTATGATGATTTTTACATAGCATGTAAAATCATTGTTCATGTAAACTATTCATAAGTCCATGTTCAACTTATAATATTAAACCTTTGCATATGTGTGATTGTCACAACTTAAAAAACTATAGGAAAGTATATTTTACAGTGTTGGCTCTCTAAATTCAAACATTTTTAAAAGCCAACTGTCATTTAGCCTGCTTTTAAAAACTATTGTAAAATACCTTCTATTTGAGATTAATTCATAATCTGTGTTTCTTATCTTTATTCTAAGTTAAATCAACAATGTAGTTATAAAAATAGAGAGTGATATCATAATTATCCTACAACCAATATTGCAGTGGAAAAAAATTCAGAAAAGCAATTTGGTCAGTTGATACATATCTATCAAATAACTTTTGGAAAAGTTCTGTAAATGCTGTTTTACTCGTGGTGCAAAATAACTGAGAACTCTGTCTAACTAAAATATTTACCAGAAATATGTAATTATGTATGGATAAATGATTTCTAAAACGAATTGTATTCATTATTGCCCATTACTTCTTCCTGAAAAGAACCATAAGCCATGATTTCTGGCAGACACACACAACACTCAGGAACATATAAGGAATGTTAATACTTATTTTAATAATCTTTAAAACATACATTTGTATGTGTTCACTTTTGCATCAGTCTCATCATTTCATACTTTTAAAATTTTTAAATTAACCCACAATTCTTGATTGCTTGGTTTGTAAATGCATAGTTCTACAGGAAAGATCCTATAGAAAGAAACTCTTTGCCAGGTGCGGTGGCTCACACCTGTAATCCCAGCACTTTGGGAGGCCGAGACGGGTGGATCATGACGTCAGGAGTTCGAAACCAGTCTGGCCAACATGGTGAAACCTTGTCTCTACTGAAAATACAAAAATTAGCCCGGTGTGGTGGCAGGTGCCTGTAATTCCAGCTACTCAGGAGGCTGAGGCAGAATAGCTTGAAACCGAAAGGAGGAGGTTGCAGTGAGCCGAGATCATGACACTGCACTCCAGCCTGAGTGACAGAGCAAGACCCTGTCTCCAAAAGGAAAGAAAATAACTCTTTTTATACACTCAATCAAAGTTATAATTTCTTCACTATCATTCATTCAGAGTTTAATTATCATGTACTATTGGTCAGTTGTTCTGAACACTGGAGATTAGTAATATCTCTCTTTTTGAATATTACTGAGAAATTGTTCTTTGGTGGGCTAAAAAACTGGAACCCTTTTTACAGTCAAAGTAATTATGGCATCTGGCCTGTTATGAGGTTTGAAAGCATATAAATATGTGTATATGTCTATTAATGGGAAGATTTATTAAACCTATTTGTTAGGGAGAAGATATTAAAACATATTAAACATTCAGGTAAATTTAATGCACCCCTAAACTTTGAAAAGACAGTCAAGTTGAATATTGGGAAATTATATTTAATTTAGTTGTTCACTGAATTCCTGATACGTGTACCATGAAAGAGGAATGTTTGTAGTTTCTAGATAATTAAGATAACATGCTGGCTGAATAACGAACCTTAACTCATCTGACAGAAATTAAGTTTTGCCTGTCAAATATATGATATGACTCTTTAATCTCTGATTTCAAAGACTAAAGATCCACATTTGTTCCTTATTAGTTAGTTTCATATATATATATATATATATATATATATACACATTTATTTAGATTGTGCTTATTCATCAGTTGAGTAAAAACAGTAATTTTTAATGATTATCAATATTTAAAATACTTTTTAAAAATTAAAGTAATGCATATATGGAACAAAGTTTGTGTAGCTATATTCTAGGTTATATACAAATGTCTTAAATACATGGAAGACATTGCTTATGAAGTGCAGAAATACTTTATTTTCATCACACATAATTTAAAATTTCAATGGCATATCTGATTTTTTAATCAGCTTAGACTCTAAGTGTGAAATGAGGAATTTAAGACTATCATGTTTCCCTAATTATCTATTATAATCTCCTTATTAAAACAATCTATCCTACCCTGGAAGTATAATTTTGCTTGATCTTTTTTCCATATCAGTGTTCATTATCATAATGTGCATTTAGCAGTCAATTACATGTTTTTTTTCCTAATTATTCATAAATATACCAACCACATAAGGAGCTTTTGCTACCATCTATTCAAAACACCAAACTGTTATCACAGTGATGCTATCCATAGCTGCAGTGGAAAAATGTTACCTGTCAAATCTGCTTTCCTCTATCCACTCAATTTGTCTTACGCAGACATCAGGGCTCCACAGGTACGTAAGCTTCAAAGTTATATAGATTTTTTAATGTGGAAAGCTCATGTGACGCTTCTTCAAAACAAATAAAAGTTCAAAGCCTCTGAGGTGCCTGGGAAGTGCCGAGGTCACTTGCAGATTCCTTTGAAATTGGCCCAACAAATGCTGTGTAGGCTGTGGCACTTCAAAGCGAAAGACTGTTTGTTATTCCTCCAGTCAGAAATGCTTGAATGTTATCACTTTTTATGTAACTGGCCTGTTTTACAGGATCAACTTTAAAGGAAGTTAGAAACTGATGAGGTAGGTGAGTGCTACCTGGGCCAGAGAGAAGCTACAAATGACACCTCAAATTGGTCTCTTAGACCTGCCAACACATGCATCCTGCTGACCCCCCTGAAGACTGCAGCAGATAAAGACATCTAAACCGAAAGAGAAGATGGGTTTAGGATGAATATGGAGAACATTAGACTCGAACTCAACTGCATCTGAAAGACAGGCTATAGAAATAAGATTGTGGAGGATATTACACTCATAAATATGTTAAAATATATTCAGCAAGAATCAAATCATGATTGTTCAATAAATATCATCTATTATTATCACAATCATCATGCTTATTATTATTGATTATTCCTGACTATAAACTGCCCTTATCACAAATTTAATCACGTAACCAAGCTTTCGTGCTTCAACATCCCTTTTAAGACGTAATGGAAAGAATAGAATGCATAGAGGTAATAGCATTATTCCTCCATAATAATATGGGATAAATCTCCTTGCCAATAGAAAAGTCAAAATAAAGTATGTAATTTTTAGAAGAAAAACAAAACACCTCTGTTGTGTTAGCATTCAATTAGAATTATAATGAGTTATTACATTTAATGTCTATCTATGGAATCTATGCAGGATATATTGTTTCCTCTTTTACACTGCAGTAAAACTAGATAGACCATTGTGATATATTCGAATACTAGCTAGTATAAAAATATCTTCTAAAATCTACAGAGAACTCAAACAAATCAGGAAGAAAAGAGCAAACAGTCCTATCAAAAGTTGGCTAAGGACATGAATAGACAATTCTCAAAAGAAGATACACAAATGACCAACAAACATATGAAAAAATGTTCAATATCACTAATAATTAGGGAAATGCAAATCAAAACCACAATGCAATAGCACTTTACTTTTTTTTTTGACGGAGCCTCTCACTGTCACCCAGGCTGGAGTGCAGTGGTTCTATCTCGGCTCTCTGCAACCTCCTGCAGGAGGTTCTCCTGCCTCAGTCTCCCAAAATGCTGGGATTACAGGCATGAGCCAATACCACCTTACTCGTACAAGTGTTATTACTAATAACACTTATGTAATAGTAAGGTGGTATTGGAATAACACTTGTAAGAGTAAGGTGGTATTGGCTCATGCCTGTAATTACTGCGCCTGGCCAATACCACCTCACTCTTACAAGAATGGCCATAATCAAATAATCAAAAAGCCAAAAAATAAGACATTGGCATGAATGTGGTGGAGAGGGAACACTTTTACACTGCTGGTGGGAATATAAGCTAGTATAACAACAATGGAAAACAGTGTGGCGATTCTTTGAAGAACTAAAAGTAGATCTACCATTTGATCCAGCAATCTCCCTATTGGGTAGCTACCCAGAGGAAAATAAGTCATTATACTAAAAAGATACTTGCACACACATGTTTACAGTAGCACAATTCGCAAATGGAAAAATATAGAACCAGCCCAAATGCCCATCAATCAATGAGTGAATAAAGAAAATGTGGTATGTATATACCATGGAATACTACTCAGCCATAAAAAGGAATGAAATAATGGCATTCCCAGCAACCTGGATGGATTTGGAGACCATTATTCTAATTGAAGTAATTCAGGAATGGAAAACCAAACAACATATGTTCTCACTCATAAGTGGGAGGATGCAAAGGCATAAGAATGATAAAATGGACTTCAGTGACTCAGGGGAAAGTGTAAGAGAGGGGGTGAAGGATAAAAGACTACAGACTGGGTAAAGTGTACACTGCATGGGTGATGGATGCACCAAAATCTCAGAAATCACCACTGAAGATTCACGTAACCAAATATCACCTGTTTCCTCAAAACCTATTGAAGTAAAACCAAACACCACCTGTTCCCTTAAAACCTATCAAAATAAAAACAAACACCACCTGTTCCTCCAAAACCTATTGGAATAAAAAATTTTAAAAAATAAATAAATAAATTCAGATTCCCTATATATAATATATAATTATATATTATATATAAAATAGGTAGGGAACATATAATATGTAATAGGTAGGGAATATATATATATATATATCTTCTAAAGTATTTACAAGGTTAGTAATCAATATAATTTACAAAAGCTAAAATATTAAACCACAATGCCATGAAGTCATTAATTGACTTGTTCATAAGTGGCTAATCTGTGATGTGTATCATCTGTGTACATAGGATTAATGATAAATCAAAAAATTACTGCAGTCCTAGAGGTGCTTATGCTTAACAAGTGAGAAAATATTCATATTGGATTGGAGAAAATTAATGTTATAAAGCCTTAAAATTCTTGTTATTAAAAGTGCATACATGTATTTTTAATAAAAGCATACACACACCACAGACATACTATGCTTAAGAAGGAATTTTGTATAGGTTCCAATAAGTCAACAAAAAGAATCATTGTCAAATTTTTATCGTATTTAGTTTTCAAAATTTTTTTCACATTTGTATTTGGAGATACAACTGGGAATAGCCTCCCATTTCTCAGGGAACTTACATTCTAATAAGGAAGAATCAATTGAGTTTATATTTTCTTCCGATTTTAACCAAAGCATTAGTTATTAGGTTTTAATTGAGTCATGTCCCTTTTTGTAAATTAAAGTTTAGAACAACCCAAATTAATGTTGTTAATTAGCCAGATGTAATCAAGTCAAATAAAGGGCCTTTAAATAAGTGAACACTTGACTTTGGGTAGCACAAATTAAGAAATAACTAATTGTTATTTATCTGAGTACACTAAGTGAAATTAAGACTTTACATTTGGTATGTGTATACACATATACTGAGTAAAGGTAAGTTGTTAAATATTATGAATTATTTTCCCCTTTGCATATATAATATGACAATGACATCAAATAAAAGGTAAATATATACTTTGAAGAAAAGCATTGACATGTATCTTTTTTAAAAGTCCATCAATTATAATGTAAGCTTTTGTTGTTTTGATTTTCATCCCAGGTGAAATTTATCCCAAGATGTACCACATCTGTTTCTTTCTGGTGACATATATGGCACCACTGTGTCTTATGGTGTTGGCTTATCTGCAAATATTTCGTAAACTCTGGTGTCGACAGGTATGTAGTTTCAAATAATTTGTGTGTGTTATTCCTCCACACATAATTTGTTATTTGCTATTCCTTCCAAATAATTTGCCTGTGTTTTTTTTTAGGATGCATATATAAACAAAATTGAAGAATACATTGAACCAACATAACATGTTCAGAAAAGTATTATATTGTGTGTTCTTCTAAAATAATGAGAACCTAGACATAGAAATATGTCTAGGTATTTTTAGAGTAATATTTAGCAAATGTATTTTATAACCTGATAAAGTGCTTTACATTTTAAACAAAATTTAACATCTGTGATTGATTAACTTTCGTCTAGGCATAACATTAATTTTGCTTTCTCTGAGAAATAGCAAATAAAAATTCCTTTAGAGTTTTTGAGACTGTAAGTCTAAAAGGTTATATTTTTAATCAGATTTATTTAATACATTTGAACATATGGGTTAAATTTCCAACTTCAAATATCTCATTCTTTAGAAGATTATGACTCAGGCAGAATGTATAATTCTAGAAACTGTATAATGCTGATTTGGGGTTACTACACTTTGTTAGATAATTCTGCTGTATCAGTGAATGTTTGTATTCACTCACTCAGTTATTCATTCCTCAAATATATATCATGAACCTTTCACATACACGTCTCACAAAAAAAGCTAAAAATTCTACTTTTTGCCATCGAGGAATTCATAGTCAGATGCAGGGTGAAAATTTCTTTAAATATAAGCACAGAGAATCAGAGCAAAATGTACTAAAAGGGTATCTAATCCAGGGAAGGTAACATTTAAGTTAAGCCTTGATGATGCAAAGCAAATCACCAACAAACACATTTAGTGGTTTGTAAGATAGAGATAAAAACGATGTGGCTCCGTCTGTCACATTTGGTAAAATGTATCTTAAAATGCCATAATTCTCAGAGATCTATTTCCCTCCTTCTTTAAACTTATCGTCAATATTTAGTATATCAGGCTCGTGGAAAGCCATGCCATTAGTCAGTTTTCTCTGACACATTTTATCCAACTGAAAAGATTTACTGGAGTCACCTTAATTCATTAAAAATGGGCCGGGCGCGGTGGCTCAAGCCTGTAATCCCAGCACTTTGGGAGGCGGAGACGGGCGGATCACGAGGTCAGGAGATCGAGACCATCCTGGCTAACACGGTGAAACCCCGTCTCTACTAAAAATACAAAAAACTAGCCGGGCGAGGTGGCGGGCGCCTGTAGTCCCAGCTACTCGGGAGGCTGAGGCAGGAGAATGGCGTGAACCCGGGAGGCGGAGCTTGCAGTGAGCCGAGATCTGGCCACTGCACTCCAGCCTGGGTGACAGAGCAAGACTCCGTCTCAAAAAAAAAAAAAAAAGAAAAAGAAAAAAAAAAAAAAAAAAAAAAATTTCACTAACACTTTATTTGGTCTTTGAGGATGTGTCTTTGTTTTTTAAATCAACCCTTGTTATTCAAAGCATTTTTCAAGATTATCTGTCACTGACTGGATATGAGCAACACTCATATTTTTCAACACTACATGGCTCATAATTTCAAATGTTCTCCTTTCCTCTACTTTTACAAAGAAGTCATTTCTTTTATGACCTTACAAGTGCAACCAGTAGCCACATTTATTAAAATTTTGTTTCCCATCATTTGTTACTATAAAAACAAATGCGGACCATTGTGACACATGGGTGGTGATTTTTCTAGATGTTGGTGATAGTTTTCTCAGCACTCTCCACTTCCCTGTGAAGCTTAGGGTGTTTGTTACTACAGCATCCTGTTTCCTAGTACCTATTATTGTATCTGTCATGTTTTGCTAGGTTATTCTTCTATTACAAGATGTGGTTTGCAACAACAGTTCTGTTTCACTCATCTTACAGGTCAGTGGTGAGGATTGGCTGGGGCACTGTGCTCCGTATGTTTTCTTACTCCAGAACCTAGTCTGAAGAAATGGTGCTTTCTGGCACATGCCATTCCGAGACTGAGAGAAAAAGAAAACTGGAAGAAAAGTATATTTTCTCTTAATGTCTTTTATGAACTGGCATGTGTTACATCTCACTTTTCATTGGCTAGAACAAGTCATGTGGTTAAACTTGACTATGAAGAGGGGAAGCATTCTTCTCTGACAGAAAGACACCACACATCACAGGGCAATGGGGCGCTTCCTACAAGGTGGGGACGAATGATCCGGAATGATACACTACAGAGAAGCCAAAAACACAAGGGCCAGAATGCATGAATTTAAATCCTCACTCCACCACTTAGTAGTTACATGAATTTTGTAAATGACTTAAATTTCTGTGACTCCCTTTATTAACTTTAAAATGGGGTCACATACCATCTTCCTCATAGGTTTGTTACATGTATTCAGGGGTGTCCAAGGGAGAGAACACAGTTGTGGGTTCTTAGTTTCTATTTCTGGTTGGGCCAGTAAAACTCATTCCTCATCCCTATTTTCTGCTTATTACTAGAGACAGAAACAAAAAACCATGGCTTCAGGCTGCTAAAAGCCAAAAAAAAAAAAAAAAAAAAAAAAAAAAAAAAAACCACCAAAACAGAACTGCAACAACAAAATATTAGGTGGGTTGGATAAGCTTGCTTAGATGAATTAACTCCAGTGCCTAAATATAGAAAGTGCTCATTAAACAAAATATCTTAATAGATGTTGTTTAATAATGGCGTCTCAACTAATTGTACTTATATTTCTAAAATAACGAGCATGCATTGAATTGGTGTATGTGACTGTTTTTGTTTTTTTAAATGCACATGGAAATACCAATATAGTGCTTCTTATTTGTCTGTCAACTCTACTAAGATAAAGATTGTCTCGCTGTCGTCTTTGTACCCCTAGAAATAGCACGTGCTCAGCACACATCAGTTGCTTTTTTCATAAGGAAAAAGCAAGTAGAATAGGAGAAAGTGCTGGGGAAATTTAGATAAAAGAGGACATAGAGAATCTATTGCCCAGTTACTCTGATAAACGTTTGTAGAAATGCATTAGAATTTCTTGAAGGGGAAAAAGCAATTAATAGCATGTGGAAATAAAGATGTTTTAGATTTCGATTGAGATTTTGTTGGGGAATGTTCAGTGTTAAGATTATGACCTATTTCCTTATTTTTACTAGTTAGTGTGCATTGTATAAAATATATGCTTATAATTTCTTATTCATTTATTTACAAATTGGCACACATTTAAAACTCTTTAAAGGTTGTAATGTATCTGCCTTGTTACTTTAACATGGTAAAACTTTACCATGATACCATGGTTACCCTAAAGTTTACATGGTACCATCAGAGAAAAATTTTTTTTTTCTTTGAGACAGAGTCTCATTCTGTCACCCAGGCTGGAGTGCAGTGGCGCGACCTCGGCTCACTGCAAGCTCCACCTCCTTGGTTCACGCCATTCTCTCACCTCAGCCTCCTGAGCAGCTGGGACTACAGGTGTCCACCACCACGCCCGGCTAATTTTTTGTATTTTTTTAGTAGAGACAGGGTTTTACCATGCTAGCCAGGATGGTCTCGCTCTCCTGACCTCATGATCCGCCCACCTTGGCCTCCCAAAGTGCTGGGATTACAGGTGTGAGCCACCACGCCCAGCCACAGAAAATGTTTAAAAAAGTTTGTTAAATAAATGAGTGACACCAAAATCCAAACAATTTAATTTTCCACCATTTAAACATAGAGTTTGAAATTTCCCAAACTCTGAAATAAAGTTTAAAATAAATTGCATCACAGACTCAGAAATAATCCACATTCTTTTCATGAACTATGCTGATTAGTGCAAGCCACACGATTCAGAAGATTTGCAGTAAAATGTTTGGGCTGTGAAACTAAAATCGTTTACAAAACAGATTGGAATGGAAAATGCCAAGTTCAGCTGAACTCACTTTAGCAGCCACAATAAAGTGAATTAACCTCAAATGGGTGATTACATAGAATTCTGCTTGAGCAACTCTCAATTTCCAACTGTCAGTGTCTATAAACAAAGTTGTAAGGTATTATGTGTGCCATAGGCTACATTAAGTGAGCCATCAAATGAAGAGCTTGTCCTATTGCTAAAAATTACAGAGATGCATGAAATCTGGTGTGTGCTTTTGAATTAGTAAGTGTAAAATTATTAGTGAGCAAATTGTGTGTCCTTGTCTGACTTTCTCAAGGAGTTTAAGCCTCATTAAAAGAATTAGCTAATACATTGCTGTGAACTACTTAAATTCTCTCTCTCTCTCTCTCTCTCTCTCTTTCTCTGTTTCTCTCTTTTTGGCAATTTGACTCAGAGTACTCAGGAAATTCTACAGATTATTTTCTAAAGCTTATTTTTTTTAAAGAAGTTAGCTTGCTTGACCCTTTCATTTATCTGTCAGCATTTTTCCTAGTTCAGATCTTTCATATAATTCAACACTAAATCTTAATCATCATGTGCTTGTTTTAATTTATTTCACATTTATTCAGCACATACTCTGTGTCAGGTATGGTGTGAGGTACTGAGAATGGACTGTAATAGATACTTGGGTCTGAAACTATAGTTCAGCTTTTCAAGGGCTTTGAAGGACCTTCTCCTTCCCAGCTCTTATCACAAAGTTTTCTGCTGCTCTTTATTCAGCATTCTTCAAAGAAAACTTAAGATAAATAATAGTTGATGGTGACAAATCAGTCTAGTGTGAGAAAATAGCAAACAAATTACAATTGCAGAGGCAGAATCAGGAAGGCAGTAACTGGAGTCCATACAAAAAAATAAAGAGCACCAGTAAAGGTAACTACATAGGTAAATACAGTAGACAGAATAAACATATTTATCTTCCGTTATCTGATTTAAAGAATAACTGCATAAAACAATAGCTATAAAATTGTGAAGATTCACTTTATAATGTATACAGATGTAATTCAAAAAGGAGGAGGAAATGGAGCTATATTGCAGCAAATTTGTTTTATACTATTGAAATTACATTGGCATAATCTAAGCAGATTGTTTAGATTAAGTTGCTAATTTTAATCCCCAGTGTAACCAGTAAGAAAATAATTTTCT